GAGACTTGACCCTTTTCTTTACTCCGGATGAAAGAGAGAGAGAGAGAGAGAGAGAGAGAGAGAGAGAGAGAGAGAGAGAGAGAGACTAGGAGGTTGGATGTCGCAGCGCTGACGTCGAGAGGATACCTTACGTGGACGGCTTTACCGGGTGGAAGCGACCGCGGAATCGTCGACAGCGAGAAGAGGAGGTAATAGGATCGTCCGTCACTGAGGTCTACCTTGCCGGCTGAGAGAGAGAGAGAAAGAGGGAGGAAGATAGAGATAACGAGAGAAAGAGCGAGTGAGCGAGCGAGCGAGCGAGCTAGCAGCTTGGTACACATGAACTCCGTTTCGACTCTGACTCCTCCGTCACCACTAACTCGCGGTCGGTAAAGCGTCGAGACGACGACGGCGGCGGTGGTGATCCGGCGAGACACGACCGTGCGCGAACGAACGGCTGGCAGTCGCGGCCTTCTGGTGGACGTGATAAGGACGAGCGGTGCGATCCGTTCCGGTGAACGAAGTGGTCGGTTGTACGAAGCGCGAGAAAGAGCTGCGAAGGGACGAAAGGACAGGAAGAAAGGAAACGATTAGCGGATATTCCAAGGACGCGGCTACCCGATCGAGGAATTTCGTGCTGCGTTTAGTGCTACGTGCTCCAATCGTTATTTAGAAGAACCAAAGGAACTTGAGAAGATCTAGGAGGTGAGATATTAAAGAAAACAAAATCCCTGCGGAGGAGAAAGCGAACGTAAAGCAACAACGACGAGAGAAGACACGAGTCCTTGATCAACAATCCGGTACTACGTGGACTTGAACACGGTTGACGGTGCGGGGAAGACAGAGGGTAGCCAAAAGGAAGAAAGGAAGTAGCCGGAGTAGCGGGCCACTTGACGGGCCATCCGGTGGTACATGATCGAGCTGTGTCGCGACCGACATTGACTCCGGCTCCGTCATATCGAGGGAGATTAGAGGCGACCCACGTTTTACTCGCTTCGTTCGGTAGACAACGAACGCCGGCGAAGCGACGGGGGCAACGAAAGGAGAGAGAGCTGCGAGGGGAGAGCGAGGAGAGGAGAGGAGGATCTACTTGCTGATCAGCGCGAACCCCGGGCGATAAGCGGCTCCCGTCTCGAGTTGACGAGCCGCTGACTCGGCGGACACGGGAGCCGGTTGTTTCAAAGCTATTAGTGCCCACGATGATTCCAATTATCCGCGAGTGACTTCCACATTCGCGCGACGGTCTGTCTAACGCCCGATCCAGTCGTTTTGCGACCACTCGTCGTGCGACCGCGCTCCGTGCCGGTTTCCTTAACGGAAACGAGGATTCTCCCCGACTCTCTTCCACGTGTACATTTTGAGAACTGCCGATTCTGGATTCTTGCTCTGGAGTGGATAAAGTGATCGGCAACGTTTCGATAAATCGGCTCGAAACGTGCGATCGAACGCGCCGAGGTTATCCCGGTCTTCTCCGAGCGATCGCACGCATCGTAGAGATCCACCTGGAGTCTCAACTTGATCTATCATTATTAATTGCTTCGAGGATAATCCGGCAGCATCGTTCCATCGGATTAATCCGTCCGGGACGAATTTCCAGATAAACGGACGGGGCGATCGCCTTCCATTCCATCCGGGATCGCGCTCGATAAGCCACGAGGATTCCCATACGCTCGCGCTCTCGCGCGAGGCTACGCTTGAAAATCGCTCGGTGTCGTTGCTTGACAAAACCGGTTTCGTTCGGCTCAGCGAATCTCGGCGTTTATACAAAGGTCGTGTGTGAGAGCGCGCCGCGCGCGCGACCGCGGGAGAGTATGTGGTAGGAGTGAGATTTATGGAAAACGAATTTACACGAGGTCACACCCACGGGAGCGGCTGTCTATCTCTCTCTCTTTTTTTCTTGTATCTTCGTTTCTCTCTCTCTCTCCCTCTCCCTCTCTTACTCTCTCTCTTGTCTGTCTCCTTGTAACTCGCACTCTCTCCCCCAGTTCGTCTATCAGTTTATCCACGCATTCCCTCTATTAATAATAACGACGAAGCCGATACAGCCGAGAATCGTCGACCGGATCACGTTGAAGAATCCTTGAAGGAACGAGATCTCGATCGCAAGAGAGTCTGATGTCGCTCTGATATCGACCAACCGAATAAATATGCCACATTCGCGGCGGCCTTGAAGAAATTTTCTTCGGGCCGACAGTCACCGTGCGCAGGATCAGCGAACTCGAGATAACGGCCGGCGACGAAGCGCAGGGGAATTTATAGGGCGGCTCATCATGCTAGCGACCTTGAGTATCCAGGTGTCTCCGATGATTGAGAATCGCGATCGATCGAACACGTAACTACCGGACGGCGAATCTCAGAGATCTTCGAAGGATGTCGGGGGACTTGGGTGGCCCACGGGAGGAGCAGGACTCGTCGCCCGGGTCGAATAGCAGCAACGCTGCGTCAGTTGCGAGGAAATCATCGGCGAGGAAAATTTAGCTGTCTTGCCACGAGCACTTGCTTGATGATCGGTCACGGCAACGATGAAGCGTGCGACGAGCGCATCCGTTGCGGCCGCCACGGCCGCCGCGACGCAAGTGCATCACCAGGCGAGGATCCAGGAGTTGTTCTCTCCCGGATCAGTGCCGACGGCGGCGGCGACGACGACGACGTCGACGACGACAATGACGACGACGACGACGACGACGACGACGACGTCGACGAACGCGAATACGACGATCGTCGGCGGTGCCTGCACGGACGAGCTGGATAAGCAAATCACAACGATGTCTTCCCGGCTCGAGTCAAAAGGCTCACCGAAGATTAGTCCCGGAACGGGCGATGACAGCAAGGCTAAATCTACGGTAATGTCGCGATTGTTAGCCGTCGATTCCGACAATTACATGCTGCGCAAGGCCGCCACAACGGCGACGACGGCAGCTACCAACGGCGCCGTGGCGCCGTCGTCTACCACCTCATCGTCGTCGTCATCGTCGAATAGTTCCGCGAGCATGCAGCTGCAACGGCAGATGCAGAGTCTCGCCATCGGATCGGCTACCGCGCCGTCGATCCTCGCAACGTACGGTAACGGCACTGACCACGTTGTCGGTCAGCTGTACGACGTCACGCGGGCAACGTCCAGATCGACGGCGACGTACGTGTCGCCCAGGTGGTACACCACCAGTAATAATAATCAGCCGACGAGGCAGCATCGGGAAGGAACCGCGGCGGCGACTGCGACTGCGACCGCGCAACTCGAGGAGCAATCCTTGCAGCAGTTGCAGCTGCAATCGCGTACGGCGACGTCGACGCGCGATGACGCGACGACGCCCGCAGCGTCGACGGCGGACGGTGTCGAGAGCGAGCTCGGTTTCACGAGGCCGGTGTGCGCGAGACCGGTGTCTTTTCATCGATACATGTGTTGGTGTAGCGCGCAACAGCAGCAGCTGCAACTGCAGCAGCAGCAGCAGCCTGCTGTGGCGGAGGGCGTCGACGCGAACTCCTCGATCGGTCGCGCGAAGGGTGGCAGGGGCTCAGCCACCCACGAAGGGTTGGCAACGAGACGAACTGTGCGCGATGATAATAGTAGTCTATGTTGCTGCATGTGCGGTTCTCTATGTCCTGCAGAGTGCCACGCGTGCTTCCACATCGTGTGCTCGGACTACAGCGGCCAGCACCTGTGCAAATGGACTACCAAGGGTCACGCGCTACCGGGCCAGGTTCACGACAAGGACAAGGTCAGTAAGCCAGTGCAGTTCCTCGTTACGTTACGAATGATGTACCGTTCGAATTAATTACACCTGAGTTGCGCTCATGTCTTTTACTATCTTTCATTTTTCTTTGAACTGATCTCTTTACTGTATTGAATAATAAAATCTAAACGAATCTTATTAGGATACATCGCAATGCGAGCTATAGTCACATTTTGAAAAATATTTAAAGAATTTGTGAAAATTCTTAACGTGAAATTTCTAGTTATACTAGAATATCAAAAAAGTTCTGAATTATCCTTCGGTTTTTGCATATAGATTTATTCAGAAATAATAACGATTATTCTGTAACCTTCAAGTGGATAAGTGAGATAGCCGTTTCTTAAAAACCTTGAAAAAGAACTTTTACTAATTCTGAAAAAGGACAAAAAAGAATTATTCAAAAGTCTTAAAGTACATATTTCTCTATCTCATAAAGGTATAACTAATGTCAATTTAATTATACATGTATGTTATATTAATAGGAAATGTAACTGTAAAATTAAAAAAAGTTTTAGGGTGCACTGAACATCCCACCTACCAATTTATATCTTTAGACCATCTATCTACTTAGAGATTAAAATAAAGATTATCATGTTCAATAATCATTCGCTACCAGTGTCTTAGCTGTTAGATTTTGTCTCGACCATTCATCTAGATGAGATATATCTTAATACAGTTCTGATTCTGCATCGTTTAACTTAGTCTTGTTTTATTAATTATAGGTAAATGAAGCTTTTCTTGCGAAGACGATGATTCGAAATTATTGAGCAAGTTAAAGTAGCTTGTCGTGAATTTTTCGAATGTAGGAGTATACGATAGACAAAATGTCGGTCGTTTATGCAACATCCAATGTATGTAACCACGCATATGGATATGACATAATTTTAATTATTTTTTGTAACAGTCGGCTTTGTCTATCATATGCTTTTGTTCTAAGAAATTCAAACGGTATTGATATCAAGTACGGCAAGTACACTGAAAAAGAGTCTGATAACAGCTATCAAATTTTTGAGTGAAATAATTTCAATCAAATGTTAACTTTTTGAGAGACAGTGAAAAGTATACTTCCCACCTTTTTCTTTTTCATTTTTAAGATGTACTGTTCACAGTACATCTTAATAAAACCAATTATGATTTTACATTTTTCTGATATATTATTGCTTACTTTTCATGTTTTACATACTCATTATACCTGATTAACTTGACCGTTTTTTTAAAATCATTTTTAGGAAATTTTTAAAATTTTAAAAAGAGCATTTTTTAAATAAAAAATATAATTTTTTGGAAAATATTTAAGATAAGAAATTAAAATTTTTGTTAAATTATTTTTTATGTAATAATAAAAATACAATATATATATTTTTTCAGAATTTTTTGCACTCTAATTTTTTATTAAAAAATTAGTCTACTGTGAAGATAAAAATTACATTACGTAACAAGTTTTTTGTATTTTTATCATGGAAGATCGTTCTATAGTAAAGAGAATGCATTGAATACAAATACGACCTCAAAAATTGTCTCTCATGTAAGGTTTCTAAAAAAGAAGGAATTCAAATGCTTCAAAAATGTGTTTTTGACCATTTTCATAAATTCATAATGCATAATCCAGGTATTCCAGCAATTTTAGAAAAGTCTAACATTGAAGTTCGGACTTTTATTTTTCAATTTTAATTTAAAAAGTCGTAAACAAAATGTAATTCGTAGAAGCCACATTCATTCAGATTTACACTAATTTACTCCTATATAACAGTCATATTGGATCTGCTGTTCCGAATTTTTAAAATCTGACTTCAGATTCGTAATCAGCGATCCATAAAACATAGAATTGTAAAATTTTACAGGAATCCGTCAGGTAGAAAAAATATGACTCTCAAAGGGTTAATAAAGTCAAAAATAATTTTACTTTTGTAAATATTTAGTATTACCAAACATAATAATATAACCAAATGTTTGATATTAATTATAAAATATTTAGAAAAGTAAAATTATTTTTGGTTAATCGAACATTTGATGACCAAAATATTACCAAACTCTTTTTTCAGTGTAGCAAACTGCTGATGAATGACTATTGAACATGATCTTTATTTTGAGGAATAAATATCGTTGTTTCTGAATAAATTTTTATACAAAAATTGTTTTTATACATAAAATTGAAAGATAATTTAAAATTTTGTTCATAACTTAGTATATATATATATTTTTTTGTTTTTGTTTTTATTAATATATTTAATGTTTTATAGCATAGATCGATTTATTTATAACTTATACCTTTTGTATATAAGCAGATTCTATGACGCTTTTAAACCGACAGAATTATCTCTCGCGCATGCACTATCATAGTTTGGCGAAATAAAAATGTGCAGAATCTTCCCGCGATATTCACAAGGCAAAGTACATAACACTTAACAATGAAAATCGAATATCGAAACTTCATCTGTATCGAGACACCACATAGCACGTGAAAGTATCAAGCTCGAAAACTAATACTTCTGGTGATAAGGATTTATCTTTGATTATGTTTCAACGGTGAGAGAGAGAGAGAGAGAGAGAGAGAGAGAGAGAGAGAGATGCATTATAAAATGCAGAAAATCTTGACGTGCCATTCTGCACATAAAATCGATTATGCGCAAAAGCATTTTTTATTGTAACATGAGATTTTATCTTCATCCGTCTTTCTTTTATTTTCGATGAATGTATTTGTGTGTTTAATTTTTGTTTACTATTTTTAATTAAACGAAATTATGGAGAAACTTTTTATTTATATTATCATAATAAAGTCTTGCATTTTTTCACGATTAAATTAAAATAATTTATAATAAATAATCTGCCGGATTAAAATAGCGATTTCGACGCCATCTTGATGCAAAAAGAAATTCATTATTCCTATTTCGAATCACTGGGATGTATATAAGTATACGATTTTGACATATATTTTTCGACTATGAAAGAGAAAAACATCTAGGGATGTAAATTTTATATCTATTATAATTTCGTGAATTTTACATAAACATATAAATGGCATGTCGTTATCAGGGCGAGACTTGCTTGAAATTCGATAGCGTAACGACCTAAATTCGACGGCGTCTGCCATGAAATTGTGATAGGGGAAAAAAGGGTAAAAAAGGGATTTGAATGTCATTTCTTCCTCTTTTATAAAAGTTGATAACATAAGTTATCCGAGTTAAAAGCATAAAATATCCGAGTTAAAACTGCGCGTTTCTTATTAACACAAGGCGAGAATAAAATTAAAAAGATTAAAAATATTATATATATTTCATGATAATAATACATATAATGCAATGTAATGCGTATAAATTTGAGAGTGGTAATTCATTGAAAACTTTCTGCTCTAATATCAATTTCATGTAAGAATAAATACATTAAAGGAAATAATATAAATTTAATAGTTTTTTTAAACTATATGTAACTATATGTTACGTATATAATTGCATCTTTTTTATTTTACCGATGGAATGAAAATCAATAGGTGAAAGCTGTAATGAAATAAATCATCTAAACGCTGGAAGCAATAAATTGCATTTTATGTCTTTTAACTATCACAATTTAAGAAAACTGAAATAGACTTCCGTAATGATAATCTATGATTTACGGATGACTGAACAGATTAAGTGGAGTAAATCTAATGTATTTATGTCTAATTGCAGCCCGAGAGTCATTACAACGGACAATGTTATAAAAAAGTCAATATTCATACAAGTTTTAAATTTTATTCTTTCAATCAAATTTAACGAATTAAATATAAAACAATTATCATTTTAATTTGAAATAGAATCGAAGGAAAACTAACTAATTAAGTATAAAGAATTTCTATTTTAAATATAAAAATAATTTTTAGTGCATCTTTGATTCGTTGTGATTGCAGGTCTGTGAAAGAACTTTTAATTGAATTTTTACAAAATTGATAGGCATCTGATTATCCACAACTTGTTCACATTTGTCCATAAGTAATAATTTTTATCTATCCTGCAGAAAAAATTTATAAATATAAACAACAGGATTAAGTATTCCTAAATATTTTTTTTCATTACACACGGAATTCAAGTGTTCACGAATTATCCGTATTTATTTCCTTACAAATAATTGTTTCTTATTTATTCTGTAAAAATAAATTATAAACAAATAGGAGTAGAGGAAAGCCCGCCTATTATGAGATAGGCGCCTAATAGATAGCGGCGTTTCTGCTAAACTAATAAACGCTATCTATCGGATTCCATCATGAATTTATTGCTCTTGCATTGAAAACTATTTAGTAAAATTCATTATTAGATCATGCCTGTAGTCATTGTAAAACAAGATTTTAGAATTTGGACGTCTTCAAGTTTCATTGAGATGAGCATTTAAATCTTATTTATTATTTAATAAATAAATATTTGGCAATAAATTCTTCATGTAGTGATAGAGTAGTAAGGTCGTACTAATAGAAAAATACGGGATATGTTGAATTATTTAATTACAAAAGTTAGATTTGATGATCATAAAACCATAAGGCGTGGAAATCGTAATATGAGATGCTCAGGGTATTCCTAATATGAAATAACCCATGCTTCTATGTTATAATGAAAATCGTTGTTAAAGTATAAATATTATTGTACAATCATAAAAAAAGACAATCGGAATGAACGTCGAGTACCTATATCTTGCGATACTTGATTCCAACTACCTGAAAACCAGTTCTGGGTCTATTGCATGCTCATTTTTCGCGCACGCTGGCTGTGTTTGTTTGTATTTTAGAAACATTAAGTATTAACATTAGTATTAATATTTGCTCACTTTTTACATGTCTTTAATTAAAAAAAAAAATGGAATTAAATTTTATGTAACGTTATCTTAAAGCTTATTAAATTCCCTTCAAAAAATGACCTATTATTTTTTTAAATTCTGCCTATAGACTTCTAGTATTTACCCAAAATGAACTCGGTATCTCATAATAGGGGCCTTTCTTCTACATGATGAGAGTAAATTTTGATAGGAAGATTCAAAGATGTGTATCTTCAAATTACATATTTGAACGCTCACAATTTGTCCGTATTATCCACAATTATCTGTAAATAATTGTTTATTGATTGTTGACTACCTTGCAAAAGGAATTATAAACAAAAAAATGGCACAAATTTTTTCACAAGTATCTCTAAATTTATTTTTTAATTATGTATTATAATTTATGAACAAATGCGGACAAATTGTGGACAGTCCGAATTCCCGGGATGTAAAAACAAAACACTTACTCAACTCTTTTATATATTTATAAAACTCTTTTGTATATTTATTTTTTGCATTGTGGACAAAGAATTATTTATCAATAAATTTGGACATGTCAACAATCGAATGCCATATCGATTTTATATATAAAAATTTGTATTTAAAAGTACAAACTTCGCAGGCTTTGTAATAGCAATATTTTTGATCACGCGTCTGATTTTAGATAGATGTACAGCATCAATCGTTACAAAACCCCTTCGAAGAAAAGGCGTTCTATAAACGTCACCATATCGCGGTAGGATTTCCGTCGCAGAGATGATGATTTCCGTGAAATAAGTTACCCGTGGCGAGGCATCCTAGATTAACGGGTTGAATCGCAAAAATTCGCGACGTCGGCGATTTAATTCTCACGCCGCCCGGTGTCGGTGGGATGTAGCGTGTGTGCGGTGGCGAGGAAGAAACGATCTTCTCGACGGAGATTAATCGAGCGCGTCGATCGGACGGACGGACGGACGGACGGATGCGCGCGGATGTAACACGCGCTGCCGGCTGGCGTGGATTATTCGGACGGGGACGACACAGGCGAGGGCTTATCTCACGGTTGTCGTCATATCGCGGACTCGGGGTTACGGCGAGAGGTTACGTTTTCTTTTTTCCGCACTTTTTACGCTTTTGCTTTATCGGACCCTCGCTACCCGATAGCAACGGCTGGAGGCACACGGAGATGTCTCTTCTCTTCTCTTCTCTTCGCGTCACCTTATCCTACCTCCGGTCCCGCCGCCCCTCCGATCGCGCCTCGATTTATTTATCTAATCGGACCTGGCCGGTCGCGTAGTGCGTTAAGTGCTCGACGAGCGACGCGCCTTATCTTCGAGATCGAGAAAATCCGGAGACGCTTCTCGCGCGTAGTTTTTACGTAATTCTCGCGCGATCGACACCGGATAACAGCACTTGTCCAGAGAGTGAATAGAGTTGTATGCGAAAAAAATTCTAGCTAAATGTACAATTCTTCTTTTTTCTTGCCTTTTTTAAATTTACGTAATGATGAAATACGTGTAGATGTTACACACGTATGCATTAAATAATCGTTAACTGAAAGTCACAATTATTAATCATAGAAGGTTAATATGGAGATTAATATGGAAATATTGATACGATGGAAATATTATAATTGTATGATGGTATATCGTGCTGTTTTTGTTACCATCAAGGATTTAATCACTTAAATTAAAATCGATAGCAATTTTACGTTAATAGACTGATGTATTATAAATTATGTTCTTTTACTTGTTTCTTAATTTTTGTTTTTTATCTATTCCAGGTAAATATGTAAATAGATTTTTAATGTGATGTTCAGAGAAAGCTTTGTATAGAGAATAATTTGGGAAATGTCTAAAATAAACCGCAATGCTATTATGTGATTGTAGCAGTTAGTTTTTAATTAACTAATAATCGTATAACGATGCGGAAAAATACGATTAGGTGTTCTCTGAAGTTCGCTATAATAGAGATAGCCTGTATCATAATCGAACCATAACTATGTCGAATATACACATAAAAATAAATTAAGTGTTTCAATTAAACTTTTTTAAAGAGAAATTGATAGATTTATTATGGAAGTAATTATAAAAACTACTATGAAATTCGTTAAAATACCTGAAATACACACGAAAGACATCTTAATGTGAATCGGGTGCTTATCTTTACCTGATAATATATGTTGCTAATAATAATTAGCAATTTTATTAGATATTATATAATGTTGTAAAATACTACTGCAAAAGCTTATTAGATTATTTATAAAGGTATATATCATCCGTTAATTAATAGAGAATGTTGATAATCTCTGAAAACACAGTACTCGGTTAAATTGAATTGCTTCTTATTGGAGGAGGGGAAACTAGATATCTGGAATGAAACGTATATCTACCTTAGAAGAGATTTATCTTATTTTATTCCGACTTTCACTCTTTCAGTTCAATCGATTAACAAGAAGCGATTATCTCAATTTGCTGTGTGAATCGTTCTGTAAAGCGATTCTGAAGTCACAATTCAGAAAGAAATGAATATTGTGGTAACGAAAAGACAAAAATTCTAATAGATTGTGACGTTGTCGAGGATTATGCATTTTTATTTTAAAATCTTGAGGATAATAAGCACGTAATCTGACTGACAAACGAGACTATCTGGCTTATTAATCTGCTTCCGCTTGCAAAGAATCGATTAATTATGTGCGTTTAAAAGGATTTTGCACGATTTACTGTTAATGATACTCTCGGATTATATTTTTATATTTATTTGTCAAAAGTAAGATTATAATATATCTGATACTTATATTTAACCATTTTGATACATTACTTCTAACGAGATATAAATACATGCATGACATTTAATATAATTGGAAATGAATCAAGTAAATAAGAGAAGCCGCTAACTGTGGTCAAAGTTAGATGTTGAAATAATATTTTTATACAGACATATTTTAAATACACTTATTTTAGATATATGATTGTACTCCCGATTATTTTCGACTTGCAACACAATCAACTGAAATAATAAGAAAATCCATATAAAAATATTATTTCAACATCTAACTTTGACTGTAGTTGACGTTTTTCTTACTTCTAGTTAATTTATTCATATATAGGGAGTCTTATTCTCTAACTTATTAATTTGAGATGAATTTTACTTTCATGAAATATTAATCTGAAGTATATTATAAATATATTTGACACTCAAAATTGGAAGGTCGCGAAGAATGATAACTTCCTGAAAACTCCGTTTATACAAAATTGTACCAGCAACTTTCGAAGTCAGATACTTCATGTAGAATACGTGATCGTAATTATAATGAAAATCATTTTATTAGAAGATTATTACGTTGTTGCCTCATTTATCAGCTCTACTTTGCTTTAATTAATTTTTTTCATCATTCACGTGATCTAAGCCGGGATTAGCAAGTCGTATAAATATGCCTCGAAGTGTACGCGTGTGTGCGTACACGTGCTTCCTCGTGCGCAAGTGGATTTGGCTCGATTAGTCGTCGTTGATTCTTGTGCCATCGATGCCCACCTACGATTTATGTCTCGTTTCTCTGTTCACAGCCTGTCAGTGAGTGGACGTCGTTGAACGTAGTTGAATGGATGTCAGCCCTAAATCTATACCGCTATGCGGACGTCTTCAAATCGAAGGACATTAAAGGCAGCGATCTGCTTCATCTGGATCGGGAAAAGCTCATGGTAAGCCGATCATCTTAATTAGTTATTAGCATACCGGTCGTCCATACATCTCGGATTAAGGTCTCGAACTAATGTCATTCAGTGGACTGAGAACCGCCTTGAACCGAAGGAACTTCAAATGTGGGACATTCGATTATTACTATTAAATTATTATAATCAAGATAATTTTTGTTTTATTAGCAAATCATACCCTTTATTCTACTTTTACTATAATACAGTAATTATAGATAATAACAAGTAAATTATAACGATTTAATTTAATGAATGGTTCAAACGAAGTAGGGTAATATCGTGAAGTTATTATAACATACTCTACTTAACTTCGCTTTTTTTACAAGATCATTGCACCGATTTGGAAGCGATACGGTGTATAATATCAATTAAAAATACGATATATCCATCTACCCATAAAGTGATTAAATATAATTACGATTGAAACTCACAAATTAAAGTAACCTTTATTTTAAAAAATCAAGTGAAAGTTAAACGAAATTGATTTTTCTTTTAATAGTTTTTTTTTTAAATCTGTGAATTACAATGAAATAGTGAGACTAAATCGATTTCTACGTGACTAAATATTAATCTCGAAACAGTTATCGATTTAATGAATGATAATGCACTGTCCTTATTCGTTTATCATCGACAGCAAATTACTTTATTATGATATTTTTTTCGAATTTACTGACAATTCTAAAAATACCGGCGGTTTTACTATGATAGCCGATCATTTTCTTTACGAACAGTTAATTAATCTTTTCCCATTAATCAGCCATGGTCTAGTTTAGTGAAATGTGACTGTAGCTTATACGGGATGCTTATTAGAACTAATTAGCAGTAAAAATTAATGTACTGTAATAGTATCATATCAAGCTACTACGCAAAGCAATTGCGTGGAAGACTGTTTATTTACTTTATTATCGAATGAAGAGATTTCTGTTCGGAGAAACTATTTGGCGAATCAAGCGATTTAAGCGGGGGGCTGTACGTTTTTTGCGATGTGCACTAAAGCTAGTCTCACACACACACACACTTTCCGTAACAGTAACAGTAAGGTTTTCGACTAATTGCGTTGCTCGATTCGGTCGTCCGTAACCGTAAGAATCGAACAACGCGATTAGTCGAAAATCTTACTGTTACTGGAAAGTGTGTGTGACTAGCTTAACGCTCGCGAAACGCACAATCACGAGGTCGAATCGTGCAAAAAGTGCAAATTAAGTTCCTTGCATTTTCGTGTCCCATTTGATTGAAATTTAATTCTGCGACAAACAATCGTCAGCAATCTGTTCTGAGCTATATTTCTACTTTTAGAACGATGCGCACATATTGAAATTCTTCAGGTTTAAATTTGATATATTGCTGGCACATATATATATATATATATATACACACACGCGCGCGCACACACACACACAAAAGCTCGCATGTGGTTATATTTGACTGAATTTCGTTTTATGATCGATAAATTTTCTGTTATTTATTCTACGTTATTATACATTTTTTTTTTTTTCAAAAGGATGAGAAGAGTTGTCTCAAAACTATTTTATTGTTATTTAAATTTTTATTGTCACATTCTGAAATTAAATAAATCCTCTTTCCAATTAACTAAAAATAGGATAAAATTCGCTAATATCTTTCACTAATAGATTTCTTTATATCCTGTAGGTATTATATCAAATAAATGTGCTGGAATATAGTTTCATGCGAGTTTCACTCTAGTTTCATATAAATTTTTATACGAAAATCTGCTATCACCACACAGCTTCAAGTTCTGAAATAAAAAAGTAGTAGAAGCAGTTTTTTTATTGCAAGTGGTAAAGTCATTCGATGTCTTTTTGTACTGAATCATCAGTCCTTGGTCTTCGCTCGTTTCGGATCGGCAACGAAGGCGGAATCGCGCGATCGAAAATTCTTCGGCTAGTGCTTGGCAGAGACGATGACCTCGAGTCGAGAGTATCTGGACGACGTTTTCCTTGGCCCGTTGACCTTGTAATTGCCCTGTAGCGTCTGTTGGTGCGCCACAGTCAAGTCTTTATCGAATCCCCCTACCGATATGTATATCTCTCTCTTTTACCCATTCTGCGTCGATTTTTCTTTATCGTCGTTTACGAGTGACCCGCAACTTTCGGATGCTTTCGGTTAGGTAATTTTCTTCTCATCGTCGCGCGAAAAAGATTCCTCGTTCAGCTTATTTTCGCAGCATTACACGCTTATTGTAAAGTCTAACACGCAAAATCGATACATTATGTATGGAAGAATATAGAAAAGGGAGCTTGATTTAATGAGATCACTTTTATTGGCGCAGCGCGTCATTGCCTGTCATGCACTTATCGCGTTTTTTTTTTTATTAACTTCTTAATAGCCACGATTTGACGTGAGGTCTTTATTAAGACGACAAGGTTGGTCGCGATATGATTTTTGTACTTCTGTTGCGATTCCATTACGTGCCTATCCTATTTCCGGCAATCACGACGTTTTTCTGTGTTGTTATCAGTTCAAAACATTGTGGTAGAATTACCGCATAATGCACGAAATATGTAATTTACTGTGCTGCGGAATATCATTATTTATAACTCTTCGCGTTTTCAGTATTTCGACATAAGTAATGGTATATTTATTATCGCGTCTTCGCTATTATTATCCTACATCACAACGGAATATTTAGTGACAAAAAAATTTGTTTAATTTTTTGTGTTGAATTCTAAAGAATATTTATATAAAATAATATGAAATATTAAATGTACTTTAACCTGTTTCTTTTTATCGTTCCATTTAAGATGGTATCTTTTTAATTTTTTATCTCCATATGAATACTTCATATGCAGCATTTTTTACACGTATGCATATATATATATATATATATGTATATGGAAGAAAATTGAAAAGATGCTGCTCTATAAATAGAATTTATAAGATGGAGAGAAGAAGTAAATTAAATTGTAATATATTTGTTGTAAGCAAATATTGGTAAAAGAGTTAAAAATTATTTTTGACTGTAAAGGATAAGATATGAAACGTACATTTTATGATTGATAACACATTGAAGAAATATTAGATAAATATTGCATAAAAGCGTAGCTTTTAATATCGTCAGAGTGCATAAAGAAAAATTTGTTTTACAAAATATATCACAAAAACAACTTCAATACAAGATGAACTTTTTAACTTTTTGAACTTTATTATAAGATGAAGCTGTTTTTATGATATTTTATATATCTACTGATATAACTTTTTATATCTGCTGATTAAGTTTTATTTTATTTTGTTCCCTCTTAATTACTGCACGGCGCATAGTTAAAATGCTAAATAAATGCTGCCACAATAAAATACGAGGATATAAGTCGAGATATAAATATAAACTTTCCGAAACGTTTGCATTTTGCAATTCTATGAAACACAATGCAAAGACACTTTTTCCTACGTCTGGTTACAGGTTACAAGACGCTATCTTTTAATGCTCGGTGATCAGAGAACTTATACGCTCATAACGATTCAGTAGAGTAGCTGAGATTATTTGCGTTCTCTTATGCAAGTCTTGCGTATTAATATTATTATACTATCTTCCTGCATCATTACTGAAAGAAAAATGTACCAAATTTTAATAAATATTTGTTTTAATAGTATTAATATGACATTTATTTATGAAAAATAAATGTTTGCTAAATAAAGAAATATAATAGTTAAATCAAAGTAACGGTTCTTTATTTATTAAATAAATATGTGTTTATATTCAGTAAATGTTTAACTGGTAGTATTCAAACAAATATTTATTAAAATTTGATACATTTTTCTTTCAGCGTAGAATACATATTTTAGTTAACGTGGAATTTGAGTTTCAAAAAGTACTTGTGTCGACAAGCATGTACAGTGAGAGCAAAAAATATTCGTAATTTTTTATTAAAAAAATCTTATTTGTAGAAAAAAAATATTAATTAGCAATTTTATATAATGAATATATTCTGTTCTAACATATAGAAATGAGCTTCGCATGTATTTCTGATATTACAAGCTAAATTTCTCGACTGTACGAATACTTCTTGAGCATTCAAACAATAAAACAATATAACTTTTAATTTTCACTTATTTTTCAGATAATATATTTTCTATAATTAATACATATTTTTTTGTTATATATAATATATTTTAAGAAACATACAGTCTATTTTATTTTTTATGAATAAATTTTTAATTATCCAACAAGAAATGATCGTCAATTAAACGTCGAATCGACATTAAATTGATATTGAAATTATTATATCGATATCAATTCGATGACTGATTTCTCGCTGGATAATATTTAATTTTTAAAAATAAAGTTTCTTTAAAAAATATTTTCTCTGTACGAATACTTTTCGTACTCACTGTAAATGTATGTATCGATTATATTGCTGATATTAAAAAATATTTAATTTTTTATATTATTAAGAGCGTTAGTGTTAAAACAGAATGAAATAGATCCATTTGCATGTCCATTTGAAATCCCCCAAAATTTTTGTACTTAAACTAAGATAAAATAAGAAATGTACCTGAGCGATGGAGGAAAAGAAGGCGAAGATGCTTAGTGCAAAAAGTGCGAGCAACGCGAACAGATCTAACGTTAAGAAATATTTTATTTGACGATACTAAAAGTGTTTAGTACAAAAAAGCAGCAGAATGTAATAATTTTATTTTCCGACGTATCTTTCGACATTTTTAAGGTATATATAATATATATATATATATATCAGGAAAGAGAAGCAGATAATAGCGAAACAAAACTTGAACTTTTCTCTTTCTCACCGCGTAGTAGCTACGCCGCTGTAATGATCGCATCGTGCATGCGTTTTCCCCGCGCGTTACCACGCGCCGCATTATCATAATTATGCGAGAGACCCGCGCGCGGCATAACGGGTCGGTCGAGACGGACAATCGAATTACATCGGTCGGCCGTATTGGCCCAAGTTCTCGATGTTCGCCGTGGGAAAACGGGCGTTTCTTCGAACTGTAATTACGCCCGCGTTTTC